GATTTGGCCACCCCACCCCATGCCCCAACCAAAAGCAAATATGTGGGCGCCACGTGGGTGGCGGGTGCAAGACGCACTGACGGTGGTAGGGGCGGGGTGAGCGTTGCATATAATTGCTTTATAGTTTGTAGTTGTTGCAATGCCAAAGCGATAACACACACGAAAGCGCACAGCGCACAACATTTACAGGGGAAAGAGTTTGTTCGTTTTTAGGGTGCCCAGAGACCCTGCCACCAGGCGTTGCATGCGCAAGCTCTCACTGCGTCTCTGTCTCTCTCTTTATTGGGATTTGCATTTGTTGCATTCTCTTAAGTTCTTTTGTTGTCTGCTGCTGCTGCTGCCTCACTTTGCTTATTAATCACTTCCGCCAAAAGCAGGCGCTAGCGGGCCACACTCACTCTCCCCCTCTCTCTCTCTCTCTCTCTCTGTCCCAGCGTGGCCTAGCAGTCAAGGGTAAAAGGTTGGGTTGCACCCCAGCCCCTAATAAACCTTTTGCACGCATTTAAAATTGACTGAACTTTGACGCGGCGAAATGGTTTCAATTAGCAGCAAATCAATCAAGTGGTGACCCACCGAATGGGTGACCCCGCAACTAATTTGCCTACGAGCTCTGGGCATTGTATTATATAGATCATGAGCAGGCACAAAAATTAGCAGTATTTCTAAGAAAGATATGCCAAGCAGATGACCCATGAAAGTTATGGGAAAAGTTAGCTACAATAATAAAAGTAATAATGTGTAGACAGCACATTACTGCTGCTAAGCCACTCTGAGAGAGAGATTATTAAACGCTAATAATCTACAGAAATGTGAGCACAAACGAGTGCTCAACAAGAGCTCTATTTATCGGCTGCCTGTGTGCTATAATCTCGTACATGTACGTACATACGTACGACCCACCTTATGAATGGGGCGCCACATGCGTTACAAATTGCACGTTGCAACGTCGTGAGCATTTCAGTATTTCTTTGCTTAGCTGAGCACGCATTTTCGATAAAAAAAAAAAAAAAATAAAAACAACACCAGAAGATATAGTAGGAATTACATAAAAAAAAAAAATAACAGAAGAAAAGAAAATAAAGCCAACTTATGAATGCAACACCGCGTGCGTTGTGATATTTGAACGGAGAGCGAGCGTATTAAAAATTTAACACGCAAACACGCGGTGGCGTATGCGTAATAAACACATACACACACACGCACACAAACAAAAAGTGGGAGCAATGCGAGTGAGAATGCGGAAAAAACTAGAGAAAAAGCTAAGGAAAATAAGCATCTATTTGACATTCGATGAGCAACAATTAAAATGGTTCGTTTCTGATTTGCAGTTGCTTAAAGGACCAGAGAATAACTTTCTAATAATACCCATCTAATTGGATTCTGGCATTAAATGATCGAAAAGGAGTGGGAACAATCCAGCTAGCAAATGCAACATTATTTTTCCTCAAATTCTATAGAATTCTATGGAACTTCTGCAACTACTTCTGGTACTTATTTTTGTTGTTGTTGTTGTTGTTGCTGTTGTTGTTTGGTTTAGGCCAAGTCATGATAGCGGTTCTGTGTGCCACAGAATTGAGCGTGCGAAACTACTAGAAACTGGCCGAAACGTTGCAACAACACAACGTTGCACAGTGCAGCACACCACACCAACCAAGTGCTACCAGTATTGAGTTTCATCTCAAAAACTTCAACGCCAGACAGACAGACAGATAGCTGGCTGGCTGTCAACGCTTCAAAGAGAGAGAGAGAGAGAGAGAGAGAGAGAGTGCGGGCCAGGGAGGAGCAGAAAGTGAGGCAGAGACTCAGGCTCAGACTCTTGCCTGAAGTCGTCGCTGAGAAGCAGGAAAAACCGAATTGAGGTAAAGTCAAATTGATTTGTCACGTTGCCGCATAAATTGCACATAATTATGTAAGCTGTAACTGTGTTTTTGCACTTTTCTGTACATCGTCATTGCATTTCACTTTGCCAACTGGCACTACTCTCTCTCTATTTCTCTCTCTCCCTCTCACTCGCTTGTGTCTTCACATTCAATCAATAGAAATAGCCTTTGCCTTTGTTTCTCTTTCTCTCCACTATTTTTTTTTTTTGCCATTTCATTGAATTAGGCCTTCATTTTTGTCATACGGGGTGCTAAGTGTTTCATTAATGACCCTGGGAACTGGGAGATGGAGAAATGAATAGAAGAAAATGGTTTCTCATAGCGTATCATAGGGTAATGACTGAACTGCAAGCGTACAAAAAGAGTCTGTTTGATGCCGGACATAATAGATCACCCGTTACTGCTAAGCCACGCTGGGAAAGAGAAAGACAGAGAGAGTGAGCAGGGTGCATATCCCGATCAGCCGAGTCGATATGATCCGTGCCATAAGTAGGAATATCTGGATGTGGGCCTCTGTAGAAAACATTAAGAATGATTTTTGTTGTTTTAATTTTTAGTTTAGTTTTTTTAGTATTATTTCTTATTAGTTTTTATTATTATTATATATTATTATATATTATATATTATATTATATATATATTATTATATATTATTTATTATTATTATATATTATTATTATTATTATTATATATTTTTATTATATTTTTTTATTATTTTTTTTTTTGTTTTATTATTATACAGAATTGTGGCAGCATTCGTTGGGCCAAGCACTTGGTATTATTCGTACCACTGCGCCTTGGGTTTCTTGCCCATAATGTTTGTCAATGTCTTCCATAATCCATGCTGCTCGAAAAATGACTTGAGAGTGCCAAACAGCTGGCAGGTGACTTCAGCGAGCTCAGAACGAATATTCTGCCTGGTTTTCATTAGAGAGCGAAACGTTAAAGCCAGACAGCACGAAAGGACTGCTGTCTGTAGGGACAGTTGGAAATGGCTCTGCTCTTTTTAGGGTACTGGACGGTGGTGCCATTTCTTTGAGAACCAATCAAAGCAATCAGAATCATGGAATAGAACGCATCCTGGATATGGCATATTAAAGCCAAAAAATAGCGAAAGACGACTACCATCCGCAATTGATACTCAAACTCACAATCAGTAGACGGATCAGGGTCACGGTCAGGGTCGTTTCCGTTCATCAGCATGGGCGGCGCCCCCCCATTGATTCGCATTCTCTCATTCTTTCAGCCGTTTCCGAATCCTTTTTGCTGCGTTTTACCATTTCATTTTTTGATTTAATAAAATATTTCTGTTGTTTTTGCTTTTGCTCGATATTATTCATGTTTGAAGTACCAGTAGAAGGGTCTAGAGAGAGAGTATATGTGGAGAGAGTTCAATGTGTAGATCTGTACGTGCTGTAGGGCAGTTGTAGTGTGTTGTTTAAACTCTGTTCTGTGAATGGAACAGCAGTCTAGATATAGAAAAGATATGCTTCAAATATAGATATATGTTCAGTACCAAAGGCTACAAGCCCTGGGCACACAAATACGAGCACAAACGAGTGGCTCTTGGGGCGCCACATGTGTCCTGGCTTGCATTTTCCCCTTTGCCGCTTCAACCGAAAAATACTCCATCAAAAACCTTTCTTTTTTTTTTTTGTGTGTGTGTTTGCAAAAGCGACAAACAAAGCCCATGCAAAATAAAAAAAGAATGCAAAAATTATTTGCACAATTTTTTTTTTTTGCTGTTCTTCTTTTTGGTGATTTGTGATTTTTTGAAGGCCAAGGTCGCATTGCATATGGGATCATAATGAGCAAAGAAGACCAACAAGAGAGAGAGAGAGAGAGAGAAGCCAAAAGCTGTTCTTGTTGTTGCTATTGTTTTTGGGTTGGGTTTTTGGCGTTGATCGAAGCGGAAGTAAAGCGACGTCGTCTGCGCTTCGACAATGGGGTAAGTGAATGCTAAAAAAAAATATATACAAAAAAAAAAAGATCGTACCAAACAAAATAAACCACAGAGAAAAAAGAGCTCTGTGTTTGTGTGTGTGTGTGTTTGCTGTCAAACAATTGTGTGCTTGTGTGTGTGTGTACTCAAACATGGCGCTCTGTCTGTGAAGGTTTCTTTTTTTTTTGTTTGCAGATTTTAAATTGAAAATTTTGCACAATTGCGAAATTGTTTTAATTAGCCCAAAAACCTCTCTCTGTACCGCTCTGTACGTCTGTACCTCTATGCGTTAATTGCAGTTTCCAAAATTAGCTAAAATCAAGAAAAAAAAAAGCACCAAGCACAAACACAGTCACATGGCCGTCATCGTCATCAGTCTGTCATGTTTCATGGCTGTCAAAGCACTCGTTGTTGTTGTTGTTGCTGTTGTTTCGTTTCGTTTCTTTTCTTTGATTGACAGCTGGTGGCCCGCTACCCTTGCCCACAAAGAGTAATCGTTTTTGGGCCCCGCCCCCTGTATGCCATGCCCCGTGTGCGGTATTCCTTCTAATGTTTTGTTATGAACGAGTGGTACCATTCAAATCATTATGCAAAACGCAGTCATTAGAGGGCAGAGAGGATCAATGTTCCTGCCTACTTCTGCTTTTGTTCAGACACGGGAAACATTTCAATGGCAGTCTGCCTGCTGCAGAGCTCGCGATCTATTGGATCGTGTGGGCCTGCCAGTTATTTGTAGAATATTATATTATATTTACGTTGATTTGCAATCAAAGTGTGGCTATTAATTCCTGTCTTTTTAGTCTTTAGTCTTTTTAATTTACTATTATTTTTATTTTTTTTTTTTTTGTTATTTATTTATTATCAGTTGCAATTTTTACACATTCCAATACGAAAAATAATCCCTTCAACAATTATGATATGGTTTCCACATTTGATTCATAATCTTCCCTAACTTATGATCTAAAAACAGTTATATGTATATCTTTCTAGTTTTAAAATATTTTTATCTATTTTTGGTGTTTGATTTTTTCATTAAAATCATGTCCAAAAAAAAAACGTTGCCAAAAATTTCTTTCCATCATAATTTTCAAAAAATAATAAAAATAAGAAAAAATCTTCCATAGTTTTTTACAATTTGTTGCATCAATGTTGCATTAAATTTGAGTTGGAAAAACTTACCTTAAACTAAAACACTCGCCAGTCGGGCGTTACCCGTCCAGCAATCCATAAGTTTCAATTTTTGCAATTGATTTTTGTCCTGGGGGCCGTCGTTTACGTCGCTTGTTTTTTTTTTTTGTTTTGTTTTGTGTATTTGTTGTTACTTCTGTTTTTCTGTATTTCTGGTGTTGTTTCCTTTTACTTTTCTTTCTTTTTCTCTGGTTGTTGGCTTGCTTTTGCTGTTGCTGTTGTTGCTTGTAGTTGTTGTCGCTGCTGCAGTTGCTGTTGTTGTTATTTTGTTTTGTTCAAAAACTCTAATTTTTATTTCGAAATTTTTGCACACCGAAATATTGTTAATGGGGCTGTTTTACAACACTGTTTTGTGGCCGAAATAGAAATCGTTTCGAAAGAGAGATAAAGAGAGACAGAGACGGAGACAGAGACTAAGAGTTAATGAGAGTGTTTCTTTCCTTGTTTTTGTTTCGTTTTCCTTCTTTTTGTTTTTTTCTTTCACAGAGTAGCCCCAAAAACAGATGAAAATAGTTTTTATTTTGTTTTTTTATTTATTTGAAGAGTTGTTGCTGCTGCTGATGCTGCTGATGCTGTTGCTGTTCCATAAACATTTAATTGGTCCTTGGTTTGTTGCTTAATGTTTTCCTCAAGTCGAGTCTTGACTGTACGTTCTCGTTTTTTTTTTTGTGTGTGTGTGTGTGTGTGGGAGGGAGATAGTGCGTATTTGTGTGTGTGTGAGAGAGATGGGGTTTTAGAGAGTGTTTTCGTTTTCGCTTTGTTCTTGCTTGTTTTTTTATTTATTTATTTATAGCCAGAGAGCACTGCCAGAGTTGTAGCGTGTTGTGTGGTTTCTTCTAGAGTTGCCTTTCGATTTGTTGCCGAGATTTTGTTTGCTTTGTGAAATTTGCATTTAGATTTTTGGTTTCCTTTTGTTGTTGTTGTTGTTTTTGTTGGTTTCTCTTTGAGTTTTACACGCTTTCTTCTTCGTTGAAATTTGGAATTTTGAAGAATATGCTGCAAGCAGAGAAGATACAAATTTTATTTTAAATATGTTTCAGCAAACATTTTTTATAAATTGCAAAAAAAAAAACCTTTAAAAATAATTCTTTATATTGAAAAGTATTTCTTTCTTGTGCCATTCGCTATAATTCTTAACCATAATATTATTCAAGTACTTATATAAATTCTTTCACTTTCTAACAGCTTTAATGTGTGGGAGCCTGGGGGGCTCGGGCCTGCCTTAATTACATGCACAAATTTTGTTTAATTTTGCTTAAATGTAGGCTATGGCAAATGTCACAAAGTGAGTGCAAATACGAGCGAGAGAGCGAGAGAGAGAGATGGCAGAAAACTTTCACTATTTTAATTACCCCAAATGAATGTTGTTCTTGTTGTGTGAGGGGGGTTGAGGGTTTGCTCCTTCCCTAAAGACAAGCGTCAGAGGCAGTGGCAAGAGGCAAAAGTTGAATGGCAATGCCACACAGTTGCTCGTTCGGTTGTTTGTTTTGTGTGTTGTTGTTGTTGTTGTTGTCTCAAAAAGTCTGTAAACTGTCTGCGTTGTTGCCTCAAGTGCCACACACACACACACATAGAGAGAGAATGTTTTGGTGAAATTAACACAAGAGAAAGCCCTATGTGTGTGTGTGTGTGTGCTATATGGCAAAAGTTTTGACTGCTGCTGCAACATGTGGCATGACGCTTAATTATGACGTTGCAAAAACACATACACACACACACACACACACACACAAAAGTCACAGCAGAGCAACAAAAGTCAAGTCAACTTTTGAATTATGACGAGTATTTGGGCTGTGGCTGTTTCTGTATCGAATAGCGGATACCCCGTGGGCATTCCAGGCTGTATTTCATTTGATCCGATTCGGGGTTTGACCGAGGGGAACTCTTGCACGACCCGTTGTACAGGGATCTTTGGAGGAGTCTGTAGGAGTCTCAAGTCTGTTTTTACCTGTTGGTAATCATATTTTAGGGATTTATAAAGCAAATAATTATCCAGAAATCTAAACAAAATACAGCTGGCATATTTTTTTTTATTTACTCAAGAACTTTCATATTTTTGTTATATTACAAAAAAATTGACATGTTTTTTAAGTTAAGTTTTTTATATTAAACAAAAATGCACATAAATATATTTTTTAAGGCATTTTTTCTTGCTCCTTTAGGGACTTTTTTCAAACAAATAAATCCACGTCTATCAGGTAACGTAACAGCGAACTATCAACTTTAATAATTTAATGCTTTGTATGTTTTATTTTTTTCAAGGTTTTCGGCAACAGTTTTGGCTTGAATAACGTCATCACTCTGTCTGTCTGTCCGTCCGCTTGTCTTGGCATTTCGTTCCACACTTTTGCATATTTTAATCAGCCGCAAGAATAAGATGAAAATGATGATGATGATGATGATGTGAGAGAGGAAGAATATTCAGAGTCAGGGGCAGAGACAGAGACAGAGACAGGGACAGACGCAGACACAGGCACTGGGCACTGACTTGCGTCAGTCTCTCCTCTCCCTCTCGCTCACTGTGTGGCATTGAAAAAGTTTCCACTTTTTCCGCTTTTCCTTTTTGCTGCTAGTGCTGGCTGCTGCTGCGGCTGCTGCTGCTGTTTCTGCGGCTTCCGCAGCCATAAGTAGGTTGCTTTGGCTGTCTGATTATACGCTCATGGAAAAGTTCAAGTTCAAAGCCTTTTGGCTGGAAGCAGAAAATAATACGCGCAAAACAACGTGGAAAAGATTTGCGCATCAGTTTCCGCTTTTCCCGCTTTAATGTGTGTGTGTAAAGGATAAAGGAAGCATATAAAAGGTGTTTGCTGGTATAATTAATTAGAGAAATTTCAGATGCCTGCTGCCAACCGAGGGGTGCTGCTGCATGACACGTGCAGCTAAGCTGCATACTGCTTGATCTTGCTAGACCTCATTTAAACTTTAATTACCTAAGAAATCGAATGGCATAGAATGCCATGATAAGCTCCAGTTAGCGGGCAACAAAACAGACAAAAAGAAGGCTCAAAAGGCGAAAGACAGCAAGCGGGAAGGGGTGGGGGTAGGGGTTCTGGGCGCAACAACGCTAGACAGTAGTCAGACAGACATGGGGAAGGGAGAGAGAAGGAGAGACAGTTAAACCAATGCCCAGACATTCAGACAATCGGACAGGGAGTCAGACAAGAGTCAGACAGCGAGACGCAAAGCAATTCTATGCCTAGACAAGAAGACTTTTATGCATACTCGCCATGTACATAAATGTATATATTATGTACATATATATTTGGTATATATATACATATATATATTTGTGTGTGATTCAGACAGGCAACAGAACAGACAGACAGACAGACAGGCAGGCTGCTTAAAATGTCTGCGCACAGCTGTTTGCCTGGTTGTCTGGCTGAGTGAGTGGTGCATCAACAGTTGCAACAGTCGCCAACAGGCCAACTTGCAACTGCAGACAGGGCTAAAGATACGAGCCTTTGCACCCAAGGGCCACCCTGTCACCCCCCACACACACACACACACAATCGACACACTTTTATTAACCCTTGTATGGGGGGCTGCCTTGCACCAGGATTCAGATTTGTAAACCTTTTTGCACCCACAGATTTGTCAACCCTTGAGGTGGGTTATTTCTTTCGATTCTATTAAATTTACTTTATTTAATTGGAACCACTTTTCTGAATCCCTTCTGATTCTGCCGCTTCCATTTGCCTTTCAGTAATACTTGGAGTAGTATTTTCTCTGGAATTTGCTGAGATTTAGGAAGAATGAAATTATTTTAAGCCATTTATAACCTTTAAGGAATTAGCAGAAAGAAGGCAGGAACGGAGACAATCGATCAAAATCGATTATAACTAATGAAAAAAAAAGAAAATTAATTTCAATCAATATTTTGTAGGGATTATTTTTTTTTGGGGATTAGCGATATCTTTGCAAAACAACCCATTAAAATACTTGATATACGTGCAGAGTTGTCCACCCTTTATGGCCACTTATTATATTTCTAAAATATTCTTGGAAATTGCTGAAAAAAAAAAAACAAAAAAAATAAAAGAAAACTCTTCCGATTGTGGCACCCCAATGTCCTGCCAGGGGTTAATCCTCTGGGGCCTCAGGACAAGCCAAACGAAGGAAACACACAAAAATAAAATAAAAATAAAATACAACAAAAAAATAATGGGGAAAGAGAGGAAGAAGAAGAAGAACAGGAACAGGGAAAAAGCCCTCAAAACAGTCGCAAGTTGCATATTCCGTTGCAGGTGAAAACACACTGCGGGGCCCTGGTGGTAAAAGGGGGGGGGGGGCGAATGCAACAAGGGGAATGGAGAATGAGGCACAAGGAATTTGAATGGGGGGGAATGGCAGTGGTGGGGAAAGGTACGACCCTAGAGTGAGTGAGTGAGAGAGAGAGAGAGAGAGAGAGAGGAGCTGGAGCTGGAGCTGGAGGAGGGTACATAAAATTTTGTTGTCTCTTGGTTTTTGCGTCTTGCGTTTTTAATTTCGTTTTCTTTTGTGCACATTTTCCATTTATTTTATCTGTCTCTCCCCCCTGTTGCCATCTCTTTCTGCCCGCCCATCAATTGTGGTCGGGTCTCTGCCTCCGCGGAGTAGAGAGCACTCTGCCTAGTAATTGTATGATAAGGACAACTACTGCTCAAAACACGGGCAAGGACGACGTGCCTCCTACTGCTGCTGCTGCTGCCACTGCCACTGCAATTGTTGCCATGCGTGACACACAGAAAAACGTTGACAATAAATTTATGCAATAACAATAATCGAAATGAAGAAGAAAAACTGAAAAATACACCAATAAACGGAGTTTGTTTTCCTTGAAAAAACGACGCTTAACATACACTTGGCTATCGAATAAGGGTAAATATCGTGTATGGTTTTCAGCTGGCTTCAAATTATTGGTAAAATACACTTTTTGTACTGCCTTGAGAAAGTTATCGATTTAAATTTTTGTTTGGCACGTTATCGGACATTGATTTCAATCGATCATAATCGATTTTATACTACCAAAAAATATGCTTCATATTAAACAACTATTTTTTATTGATAAAATATTTATATTCTTTTTTTGATAATGTTATCGAAATATTATATAAGTTATCGAACATAATCGATTGTATCTAATCAAAGAAAGTTTTTTTAAGTTAATTTATGGAATTTTAGCTA